ACAGCCAATCGTTTGCAGGACACCCCAGGGGTCACCTGGTGTAAACACCCAAAAGATTTACAAAATGGATGCAAACCTCAAAAATCAATACAAACTTTAACATAAAGTCCACTTTTCAAGTGGTTTCTTGCTGTTTGGAACTGAAGCCGCAATTCTGTGAACATGTGGCCAGCCAAAGGTCGGCTGGGATCTACCAGCGAATCTTTGGGTGATTTGTAGCAGACTTTCCGACCCTCTGGAGTCCACGAATGCCAATGCTACAAAGCTCCCCACCAGCACTGTTAGGTTGCTGAAAAATATTACTTGGGGAAACCCTAGAAGTGGATTTTCATCAGCAATTTTTGCTCAGTTCTGGTACTGATCAAAAGTCTCTCTGCTTCTGGGTAAAAAAGATAGTTCATAATGCAAGAACAAAATTAGCCATGCCCACATTACGGAATGCACAGAGATCAAACCAGACAGTCCTAGAGGAGAGCAACCCTGACTGCTCTTTAGAAGGCCAGATACTGAAGATGAAACTCAAATACTTTGGCCACCTAATGAGAAGGAAGGACTCCCTGGAGAAGAGCCTAATGCTGGGAACAATGGAAGGCCAAAAGAGAAGGGGATGGCAGAGGATGAGGTGGCTGGATGGGGTCACGGGGGCAGTGGATGTGGGCTTGGGTGGACTCTGAGGGATGGTGAAGGACAGGAGAACCTGGAGAAATGTTGTCCATGGGGTCGTGATGGGTCAGGCACGACTTTGCAACTAGCCAACAACACATTACAGAAGCCTCTATTTCATATAGGTTTTTCAAATACCCTTGTGTTCGGAAAGCTCATGTGCTTTACTGATACAGTTTTATAACATACTTATATGCCATTTCTCCACACACATCAGTGGTTTCATGAACAGATGTGAGATTTCCACACAGCCAGGAACAGAGCGGGAATTACAAGCTCCAAGGGGAACCCTCATCCATCAGCAGAAACATGGAGCACCAGAAGGATCCTATCCTGTGGCACTGAAGTTCCGCACACACAGGAATGTTTCCTTTCCACTGATATTAATGCAATGTAAACATACTTGCAGTCCAGCCCAAAGCTTGTTCACTTAGGTGGAAGCATGTTTAGGACCACAGCCCCACATAGTTTCCAAGTGTGGAAATAAGCCCCACATATTTAAATGGAACATGTTTCCTTGAGCGTATGCTTCAGTTGGTGGCCTAAAAGAGCTTCTGTACAAGAAAGAAAAGAAAAGCAAGGAACCATCAGCAGAGAGTCGCAACGGCCTGAAATTCCAGGGCAACATTTATCTGACAGCTCCTTGCATTCACCCAGATTTGTTCCAGCAGCTTCTCCACACAGCTGCTGTTCCTCTCTCCGGAAGTTTCCCTGACTCGCTTAGCACAACTGTATGACCAGCTTACTCACAGATGCATCTTTGCAATGTCCATATGGTTTTGCTTTTAGCTCCCACACAGAGTGGGAGTCTCAGAAATTGCACTAACCTGCCCTTGGAAGGATAGCAAAGCAAAACTTGCAATTTACAAAGTTCAACAACCACTGATGAGATTTTAAAAAGATGTCCTCCAATGAACACTTGCAGCAACCAGAGAAGAGCAAGAGGCCTTCCAACCCTGTAAACAGCACACGGAGACCCTGAGCTCAACAAATGTGTACTCAGCTTTTCCAGGATCAGTGCGAGCACAGAAGAAGCACAAGTTGCTTTGTGTACATTGCCAGCAGTAGGGAGCGGAACTGGCCAAGGCCTCTGAGGAACGCAGATTAGGGTAGAACATCTGACACACTTCAGGGCTTTGTTTCCTGATGCAACAGGCTTATCGGTATCATATTGTAAATCTTCAGATAAACGTATTTGTAGCTGTTGAGAAAACTGCCAAGGCTGCTCCACAGCAGGGATTTCAAAAGTTTGCTCCTATCCAAGAGAGGTGGCGAGGTGAGAGTTCAAAGCCTGATGCAGCAGAGCATGGGCCTAGTGCCCTCCCTGTGTGTTTGACTGCAGCATCCCTGGACACACTGGCTGAGGTGATGGGAATGGTTGTCCCGGAGAACTGGAGGGCCCCAGAATGGGGAAGGCTGCAAGACCAACCCTGAATGGAGTTCAAACGGGTGGGTACCAGTTAGCCCCAGCGGCATGCTTCACACACCTTCTGACGGTGCCTCGCCCCCATTTCAACTGCAACATGATCCAGTTGTGCAATGTAAGCAGCCCAGGGTGGGACTGGGGAGAATTTCAGTGCTCCCGAATGCTTCACTGTGGTTTTCAGATGTTGATTTCCATGGAGGCGACCACAAGAAGTCACCTCGTAAGAGCAATGCAAGGCCATTTTGTCGTCTGAGCTCTGAGTCCATCCAGTGGAAGGATGTTCCTTTTCTGGAAAGGGAGAGCACTGAGGCTGGCTGGAGTCAGCGGGCATCACCGCTCAGCTCCTCCGGAGAGCAGCTGCGCCGGCTTCTCGGGACCACAGCACTTTGCAGAACTGTGCCTGCCAGAGTTCTTCCGTCCATGCATTGATTAGGCAAAGAAGGTCCACCTGAATCCATTCTGGCAAGCAGGACCGCTTATGAAGGCAGGTACCTTCATTGCAGGCACCTTCATATGGGCACACGCACTTGGAAATAAACTTGAAAGGTCCTAACAAGGCAGAGAAACCACCTCTTGGGCTGCAATCCAAAATACACTTCCAGAAATTCATTGGAGTTGATCTGCAAATGTATGTAACTTCCCTCTTTTGAGGACCTCTCTGTCACCTCTTAGCACAGCGACAAGCAGGTGAATCCTGAGGTGAGCTCCACATTTAGGTGAAGGAAATGAATCTTGCATCTTTCATCCACAATCATAATCAACTCTACCATTAAAGAGGACTTCAAACCAAAGATGAGGATCACATGGGAATCCTCACCTGAGCAAGAGAGTTAAGTGCATCATCACTGTGTCAGCTTCACTATCACAAAACATGGGAATGACCACCGGTCTAGCTGGGCTCCCAAAATGGCACAAACAAATTAATGGAGGGCGGATTTATCAAAAGCGACTCGCTACCTGAAGGAGCACTTACATCCATATATGCCCAGCCGCCCCCTGAGATCGGCAGGAGAGGCCCTTCTCCGGGAGCCCTCCGTGGAAGAAGTTAGGAGGGTGGTTACTCGGAGGAGGGCCTTCTCTGCAGTGGCGCCCAATCTATGGAATGCGCTCCCCAGAGAGGTCCGCCTGGCGCCGTCGTTATTTGTTTTTCGGCGCCAGGCGAAGACCTTTTTATTTAAGCAGTATTTTAAATGTTAATGTTATTGAATTTTATTTGGCCAGGGCGGCTTGTTTTATAGTGTATGTTTTATATTATATATTTGTATTTTATTTTAATGTATATATTTTAAAATGTTATTTTAATTTATTGTTGTAAGCTGCCCCGAGGCTTTGGCGAATGGGGCGGCATAAAAATGTTTTAATAAATAAATAAAATAGATGGATTCTCCATGTTCAGAACATTATGTCCCTCAATCCACATTCTGCTGCTTCCACATCTTGAAGCTGCCTGGTGCCGCAGAAATGAGATGCTGCATGAAGGGGCCCCCAGCGTGGTGACCACGGGCACCCCACATTTATTTAAATCTTCTTAAATGTTTAATGCATTATTTTATTTTTCAAAAATACACATGCGTGGATTTGTAGAAAATACATGCAACTTTCTAGCAATTCTATATAGACTTCAGCAAAAGTGGGCCAAACACCCTGTAAGATCCATCAGGAGGAGTCATTTATTAGCGCCTCTTCGTGTAGCAAAGATGTCGCAAGGACATCAATCCGCTGCATGATGGGAGGCAGGTGTTTATCTTTCCCATTTTGTGACAGCAACCTTTTGGCCGCCCAAAGGGCACAGAAAATCTGTTTCCCTTCCCAGTTGCTAATTTCCAGGAAGAAAGTAAACAATCTAAGAGTGTATAAATTACCCAATATTGTTGTTTGTTCAAAAACGTAACTACATTGACAACCTTCAACCCAGAACGAAGATACCACTGGACACTGTCAAAACACATGCTTAAAAGGCCATTAACAGCTACACCTGCAACAACTATCCAAATTAGAGAAGCCTTTATTAAAGAGACATTGTGACAACAGACAGAAAACGTTTTGCTGAATAAGACATAGTAACAGGTGTAAGGAAGTTACACATGTTACTGTTACATTTTTACATTTCATCTGTATAAAAGAAAAGAGATACACCAAAATAAGTTACAAAATGTGTATTGCCTACCTACGAGCCTCTCTTTAAACAAGCCAACAAGCAACTGAAATTTTACAACATTGGATGCGCGGCTTAAGCATACGCTATGAAATAAATCCCCCTTTTCTGAAGCAAAGCAGCACACACACCCGTTTTAGGTTGTTTTATGACAACGTGTGAAATGGTCTTGATCCCGAGCGGGGTGAGAGTTGGTGCGCTGCAGGCGGGTGCGCAAAGGTGCTCAGCCGAGACCCTACACCTGCCCGGAGTGCCCAAAGACCTACCACGCCCAGCATGCCCCAGTCTAAGTCTCTCCTCTAACCGAAGCTCGGGGTGTGGGGGGGCCTCTTCCTTGTTTCGTTTCCTAGCCCTGCCTGCAATCGCGGTCTACCAGAACCGGCCTGCACCGCAGGGCTGCTGGAAAGACGAACCACGTGCCATGCGCAGCGCGGGCCGAGCGCCTGGGCGCTACCAACCCAGCGGCTTCCTGCGGAGGCCTCCGGGACGGGAAGCCTTCGGCGGCGGAGCGGACGCCGCTCGCAAGGCGCGCTCGCAGCAAGGCGTGAACTTGCGAGCAACAGTTGGAGGCGGCGGCCCCGGGGCGGGCGTTGCTTCCCTGCGACATCCCGAGGCGGCGAGCCGGGCGCTCCGGGGAGACGCGGTCCCGGGCAGCCCTGAGCCAGCCCGAGGGGGGCGCGGTGCCCCGGGGCGCGCAGGCAGCCGCCCCCGCGGGCGCTCCTCCGCGCGGGCCAGGGCAAGGGCCAGCGTGCCTACCTGCGTCCCGCTGAGCACGGCGCCCTCCATCCCTGCGACGCGCCGGGCGCCCTCCCGGCTAGCGCGGCGGTGCTCCGGCTGGGCGCGCCCCGCTCCCCTCTGCGCCTGGCGTCCCGGCCCTCCGGCGCCCGCTTCCTCCCAGCAGTCAGCTGATCCCAGGGCGGAAGGGCCGCGCTCGGAGCCTCCTTCGAGCGGCGGGAGCCGCGCTGGACCGGGCCAGGGTCGTCCCGCGGGGGCGTGCGCCCGCGGGGAGGGGCGCCCCCGGTGCCCTGCGGGGCTGCTGCGCGCTTCCCAGGGGCGAGCCGGGCCCCCGGGCGGCGAGGGGGCGGGAACCGCCGCGGGGCTTGCTCCCCTGCGCGAGCACGCCCGGGCCAGGCTGTCCCAGGTGTGCGTCTGGTGGAACTCAGGAGTTCTTATGGACTCCTGGGCAAGAGACGCAGGTCTCCTTAAAGGGACTGACTCCCCAGTGAACGTGGCTCGGAGCCGACCCTCTGACACTCCTTTTGCAGCTCTAGTAACTTGGCAAGGCCCCGAGAAGGGGCTTCCAGGGGCTCTCCGCTTCTGCAACCAGCGCACAACTTCGGGGAGAGCCAGAGGGCCACTTGGCCAAGTGCTTCCGAGTCTCCCCACTGGTCAAGCACCGGACACAGGCTCCTGCAAGCCTTCCTTCAGTCATAGGGGACGAGCACTGAGGCTCCAGGGCCCACCCTACAACCAAGGCTGCTGTGTGGTTGCACACAGTAGCCTGGGCACTCTCAGGAAGAGGCTGAGCCATGGGGAGGGCTGCCTTGCAAGAGCCATTGACTCCCCCCACCCCCCTGCCCTGCACCTGGTCCTTTCCCACCCTAGGAAAGGCGGCCCTGGCTTCTCTTGGCTATGGGGCATGCTGCATGCTGTCATCTGCTCTGCTCTGCATCCTGCAGCATATTCTCTGTTTTGAATATTCCTTATATTGAGTAAAGCTCAAAAATTGTAATATATAATCTAAAGTTGTTACTGTGTCCTGCTACCTTTTCTATTATTCTTCACTGTATTACATGGCCAGCAGGCACAGAAGCACAAAGTATGTTGAAACAGTCCATTGCTTCCCCAATTCCTTCTAACGTCTTTCTTTTCAGGAAGAGGCCCAGAATATATTGGTACACATACATTCAGCTTGCATTCTGCAATCTGAGATGAATGTTCTTGGCTGCTACAGGAAGGCACTCTCTTTTGTAGCCGATCTGGGCAAAGTGTACAGCAGGCCAACTCGCAGAGGCTGAGAGCTGGTCGTCGGTTTGGCTTCCTCCGTGCCGGAGGGCAGGCTTCTGCCCCAGGAGAAAGCTGTTGCTGAAGCGAGCTGTGATGACACAATAGCACTACAAGGACCAGCTGAAATGCCACAAAAGAGTGTCCCCTTCTCCAAAGCCCACCCATAGGCCAGAGTGGAGGTGGGCCACCTTTTTCCTATGCAAGGCCATGTTCGTGACTCGGCTATGATTCACAGGGTGGGCAGTGGGTAGGCCAGAGCCGAAACTGGGGTGTAGCCCCCCTCCCTTCCTGTTCAGTGAGCTGCCAGGGAGGGAAGGGACCCATTACTGTGGTCAGAGGTAGGAAATGCTTGCAGGAAGAAGGCTTTTCAAGTCAGGCTGAGGGGCACATGGAACTAGGTGAGGGTTGTGCTGTTGCCCACCCTGGATAGGTAACACAGGAAGCTGGAGCAGGTGAGAAAAGCTGCCATACGGCCATTTGAAGGCAAATTGCACAGTGAGGCCTCCATCCACTCCAAGCCACAATGTCACACTAAGCCCTGTGGCTTCAGGTAACCCTTTAATGTCACACATCATCTGAAGTTGGTCCCAGGAATGCAAAGAAAAGGGTGATGGCTCTTTAATGCTGGCCTTTGCCTATCCAGGCACCTGTGTGTTCTCCCCTGGCAAGAAGCCCATCAGGAGTTCAGCTGACCTGTGTATTTCCAGAGATTGGGATCAGCTGTTGCTTCATTGTCCCAAAAAGCTTGGTGAACGCCCACCAATGAGCAATTTGTTCGGGTGCAGTTACTCTTTTCACAGCCTAACCAGTAGGTCTCCCAGCTGTGCTCTCTGCCCTCCTGCTGAGTTTCCACCTAACCTGAAAACTCCAAAACATTCACAGTCCTTTGCGGCATTGTGGGCTGCCCAAACAGGTTGTTCCTCATGGGCAGGCCCACTATCTTTGTCTTTTTAATGAGGCATCAAGTTAACCATTATGGAGCACAGCTGTCTGCTGCGGGAAGAATACTCCAGTTTAGCCACACTATTCTGAAAGTAGACTTGCCACAATTTGTTGTGATCCACACAATCAAAGGCTTTAGCACAGTCAATGAAGCAGAAGTAGATGTTTTTCTGGAACTCCCTAGCTTTCTCCATGATCCAGCGTATGTTGGCAATTTGATCTCTAGTTCCTCTCCCTCTTCGAAATCCTGCCTGTACTTCTGGTAGTTCTCGGTTCACATACTGCTGGAGCCTAGCTTGTAGGATTTTGAGCATCACTTTGCTAGCATGTGAAATGAGTGCAATGGTGCGGTAGTCTGAACATTCTTTGGCATTGCCCTTACTTACTATCCTGCCCAACAGCTGAAAGGCTCTCTGGGTAGTTAACAAAGGTCTGTGATGGCTGTAATGGTTAAACCTCCCACCACCAGAAGGCGACTCCCACCCTGGAGACCTGTCCTTTGTGTGAGAAGATACCAGCTTGGTCTGCAGGGAAAGGGCCCCCTCCTTATAGGTCAGAAGATGCTTCCATCTTCCTCAGAGTCAGTGCCTTTCCTAGGACCCACAATACCTCTGGCCACTGAGGAAGTGTCTCTTGGGTTGGGATGCTGTTCCTGGGTCCTCCATGTTCTTGTTCACAAACCTCTTTGCTTTTCTCAGCTGCTTCAGGTCAGCCAGCTTGGCTTCAAAGGACTGAGTACATTCCCTAAGAACCTGGAGATTGAATTGATGCCTTCAGATCACATCGGCCTGCTGGACCTGTGGATCCAGTCCAGTCAGCAGATACTCATCCATGTGATGCTCAGCCTAATAAACTGGGTAGCTCCCACACCAGCTCTCTGCAGCCTCGTTCCTCTAGCAAACCAAGATCTTCACTAGCAAAAACCAGGGAGGTTCATTCCCCCAGCCCCAAAATCTCATGGCTTGGCCTTGCTGAGACACTTTGTGGCTGGAGCCCTTCCGTGTACTGCATGAAGTCTTCTAGCCCATGGAGAAATATCCTAAAACTTGATACCATCAGGAATGGGTTAGACCACACCACCAGGTGGAGCACATGCTTGCCTACAACACGTGCCAGTTCTGGTCCACGGCATTTCCAGGAAGGGCTGGGAAGCACTCCTCTGCCGGCCAGTGTCCACAACAGTGGGCTGGGTGGAGAAGGTGTCAGCTCAGCAGCATGGGGTAGCTTCCCATGGCATAACCTGGGCTTTGGTGTTCTTCCAAAACTAGGTATATAACTTAAAACAACAGGGGAGCTATAATTTAAATGAGAAATAAAATGTATTCTCACTTGCTCCACAAAATATGCTGAGAATATCCCTCTGTTTAGCTTCATGTGCCAGCTGAGAATCCTGTTATGCACGGCTGTCCGACTTGCTGTATAACAAGCCAAAATTGAAGAATATAGACAGACGAATTGGAAGCAAGGCATGAGCTGAGCAACTATTTGAAACTAAGCAGGTCTCGGGCAAGTCAATATTTAGATGGGGGCTCCCTGGAAACCCTACATATATTGCCTTGAATTCCAACTTGGATGAAAGCTGAGCATCTTACAATGGGAAGAAGCTTCAGTATGTGAACCCTTAACTAGACCCACATGTCCTACATTCATTTGCCTCCTTCATATTAGGCTATTTTATTTTTACAATTATTTACATGCCATCTTTCAAGATGAAAGCATGCCAAGGTGTGATACATGTAAAGCAACAATGCATTGATGCAAGCCAGTATAGGACAGTGTTGAAAAATAACTCTTAAGGGTCCGTAAAGGGCAATTTGGCAGAGCATCCTATAGGGCAGGGGTCCTCAAACTTTTTCAACAGGGGGCCAGTTCACTGCCCCTCAGACTGTTGGGGGCAGACTGCACATTAAACATGAATTAAAATAAATTTTAAAATTAATTAGCATTTAAACAATTAAACAAAATGTTTGGTCGTTTGCTTGGAGAAGGCCGCGGCGGAGGCATGGGAGCCCCGCGGCTTTCTCCGTGTAAGCCTCTCCGCTTCAGCCTGTCCACCCCAGGATTCCTCCCCAACCTGGCAGGATCTGTGAACGCGGGTTGGGCAACCCCGGCATGGCAGTGCCCCCGCCATGCCTGCCCCCGGATCGTTTCCTTCAGGCGGCACCTGCCACTGTGCCCCGGCGCGGCTCCGGCTCCGGCTCCAGCTCCGGCTCCGGCTCGCAGGCAACTGGTGCGCAAAGCAGTGGCGATCGTGGCCCTCTGGTGAGGAATGGCTTGAGAATTATTGCCTTACTCCATATTTTCAATCATAATTGTGATTTCTTTTGGACTCCTCTGTCATTCCAATAGGTAGGGAGTTTAATCTGACGGATGGTGGAAAGGTTAAAAGAAAGAGCCCATGAAACCCAAACAAGGTCCATGACAGCCCTCATTTTCTTCCTGTCAAGCCACAGAGGTGTTTAGACTAGTAGCGGAGTTGGAAGGAGCCTATCAAGCCCAGCCCTGCGCTGCTTCCACACGTGGTCATAGCAAAGGTGGCTCGGCCCGACCCTTGACGTACATGCTTCTATCCCCACTGGAGGCCTGCTGCTACCGGTCAGTGTTGATCCTAAGGGCCCAGCTGCACCAATGGTCTGATTCAGTACAAGCTGGCTTTCTATATTCTTTGAGACCAGCTTTGCTGATTAGATTCTTGTCCAAGTGCACAGGAGTCATTTCCCAATCTCCCAGACACATTGTTCCAAAGATACTCTGTCACCCCTCTCACATATTAAGCCCACCAAAGACACCTGTATTTTTCTTCTGCCTTTCAGGGGCACATGAATCTCTTCTCCATGTATGTGGGCCTTCTTTTTCATTCATTCATTTTAAAAAATTGTAG